AGCTGCTGGAGGTGCTGCTGCTGCTGGCGGTGCGGCTGGCGCTGCTGGAGGTGCTGCTGGTGCTGCTGGCGCTGCTGGAGGTGCTACTGGTGCTGGAGCTACTGGAGCTGCTGGTGGTACTGCTGCTGCTGGCGGTGCTGCTGGCGCTGCTGGAGGTGCTGCTGGTACTGGTGCTGCTGGAGCTGCTGGAGGTGCTGCTGCTGCTGCTGGTGGTGCTGCTGGCACTGCTGGAGGTGCTACTGGTACTGGAGCTGCTGGGGACCCTGCTGCTGCTGGCGGTGCTGCTGGAGCTGCTGGGACTGGCCCTGCTGAGGGGGTTGGAGCTGGAGGTGCTGAGCGGCCACGGCCGTACTACGTTCCGCTCCTTCAGCAGGTTCTTGGCCTTCCGCCCTCTCCTGGTCCTACTCCTCCCCTACTGAGTCCACCGCTTGTCCAGTCGCAGTCACAGTTACAGCCAGTCTCTCCACTTCCTGGTCCTTCTCCCTACACTGCGCCGACGGGAGGTCTTACAGAGCGTCGTGAGCCTGAGTCTCGTCCTCCGTCGCCTGAGACGCGTCCAGAGTCGCCTGTCCGCGCTGTCCGCGCTGGTCGTCGTGTTCCACGTCAGCGTCCTCCTCCTGTCCTTGGCACTCACTATATAACCCTGCGTCCCTCTACTGCTCCACAGCGTGTCCCACTGCCGTCTCCACCAGCGTCCTCTCTTCCTGCTCTTGCTGACCCGGAGTCTGACTCTCTTCGTGCTGCCAGTCCTACTGTCACGCGTCTCCTTGCCACTGCTGTCACTGACCCTTCCTTTGAGTCCTCTGCTGCGTCTGCTCTAGTCGCTGAGCTTGTTGACTTTGCTGCTGCCTGTCGTCTAGACTACGCCGCTAGCCTTGTTGCTGAGTCTGAGTCTGACTCTGTCTGTCCTCCGTCTGTCGGGGATGAGTGTGCTCTTGGCACGGACGCCCTTGAGGACAGACAGGAGGAGTTTGAGTGCTTTGCCGCTGCTTTGCCTCATCTCGTGTCCATGCTAGTTGCCCCTGAGGGAGACCCGGATGCACCAGACATCCCGACCCCACGCTCCTACGCAGAGGCGATGGAGGGTCCCTACTCCTCTCAGTGGCAGACAGCCATGGACGCAGAGATGGCTTCCTGGAAGTCCACAGGCACCTACGTCGACGAGGTTCCCCCACCTGGGGCGAACATCGTTAGTGGCATGTGGATTTTCAGGGTGAAGCGGCCGCCGGGTTCTCCGCCTGTCTTCAAGGCGCGTTACGTTGCACGAGGCTTCAGTCAGCGAGAGGGAGTTGACTTCTTCCAGACCTTCTCCCCGACCCCGAAGATGACCACTCTTCGGGTTCTGCTGCACGTCGCTGCTCAGCGTGACTACGAGCTCCACTCTCTTGACTTCAGCACTGCGTTCTTACAGGGCAGCCTGCACGAGGAGATTTGGCTACGCCGCCCACCTGGCTTCACTGGGTCGTTCCCTCCTGGTACCCAGTGGAGCCTCCGGCGGCCAGTCTACGGTCTTCGCCAGGCACCCCGTGAGTGGCACGACACACTGAGGACTACTCTTGCTGCTCTTGGGTTTGCTCCTTCTACTGCTGACCCATCGCTGTTTCTACGCACCGACACCACTCTGCCGCCGTTCTACGTTCTTGTTTACGTAGACGACTTGGTCTTTGCTACTGCTAACACTGAGGCACTCGCCCACGTGAAGTCGGAGCTGCAGAAGAGACACACGTGCACAGACCTGGGTGAGCTGACAAGCTATCTTGGCTTGCGGATCACCCGGGACAGAGCACAGCGCACCATCACCTTGACTCAGTCACACATGGTGCAGCAGGTCCTTCAGCGCTTCCGCTTCACGTACTCCTCGCCTCAGCCCACTCCTCTGCCTACCGGTCACTCGCTCTCAGCTCTGCCTTCGGATGAGTCCGTAGAGCCGAGTGGCCCGTATCCAGAGCTTGTGGGCTGCCTCATGTACCTGATGACCTGCACTCGACCTGACCTGGCATACCCTCTTAGCATCCTAGCACGCTATGTCGCTCCCGGCCGTCACCGGAAGGAGCACATGGATGCCGCTAAGAGGGTGTTGCGCTACTTGTGCACTACGTCGGGCATGGGGCTCGTGCTTGGAGGTCGGAGCGACGTTATCCTCACGGGTCACTCAGACGCTTCTTGGGCTGACGACCAGGCTACGCAGCGGTCGTCTCAGGGTTACACCTTCAGCCTTGGCTCTGGTTCAGTTTCTTGGCGTTCTACTCGCTCTTCTTCTGTTCTCAGCTCCAGTTGTGAGGCTGAGATCTACGCCACAGCCATGGCTGCACAGGAGTTACGCTGGCTCACCTACCTGCTGACCGACCTGGGAGAGCGGCCTCGTTCTCCTCCAGTGCTGTACGTTGACAACAAGGCCGCCATTGCCTTGTGTGAGGAGCACAGACTGGAGCACAGGACGAAGCACATCGCTCTGCGCTACTTCCTTGCTCGAGAGCTGCAGCAGCGTGGTCAGCTTCGTCTGCGTTACGTGGCCACTCGGGCCAACACTGCTGATGTGTTCACCAAGGCACTTCAGCCTTGTGACCATCAGCGTTTCTGTACTGTTCTAGGCCTTGTGCCTACTCTCCCTCACTTGCTCACTTCTTGTCTCTGCTTGTACTGTGATCTCTATATATATATACCTGCATGTTTACTCTTGTTAGGTTGTGATCACTGTACCTCTTGTTATATTATCAAACTGCATGTGAACTGGTCTTGTGACCACTTGCTTGTGCTCGGAAATTGTGTGGTTTCCTTGAGATCCACCCTGAGCTTGCTTTGCTTTGCTTTGACTGGTCTTGTGACCATCTGGTTGTCTCCCACTTAGCCTATGGGGGTGTGTCAAACATTATACATGTTCATATTGTGTAGGCTATAGTGGGTTTAGCCTTAGGGGGTACAACATTGCTAGGGTTTCCTACTTGTATCACCCTGCTGCCTAGTTTCACACATTCTCGTTCAGTTCTACATTCTAACAGTATGAAGCCCTCGCCCGAGACCCCTCCAGTTTCGCGGCCTGGCCTCCTCTGCGGGGAAGGGGTGGTCACAGTCAAGATTCCCCGCAGAGGAGCTGAGTTGGTCAGCTCGTTGCCTCGGTGGAGGGGAATCGTGCTCTAGATGGGCACGTCGTGGCTGAACCATGACGTGCCCTGGACCGCATGCAGCCCTGATTGGGCAGTCGTGATGCGAAGTGCGTGTGCGCTGGCATGGGCCAGGTTCACGTTCGATGAACCTGGCTTGGCCAACAAGGCATGGAAGGCGTGAAGCCACGCCTTGTTGGCCTTTTCAAGCGGATCACATGCATAGTTTCGAACGTTCTCGACTCAGGTGAATCCGCCTTTCAAAGTGCTTCGATTTCATATCTTAAAAAATGAATTTCAATTTTGATATAACATTAACGCGACGCTTATAAATTTACTCAATTATAACCCCACCCCCCTAAAAAAACTGTTTTATTATAGCCCCCCATGGGGGCTTATCCGGGGGGTGACGTTAGTTTGTGTGGTATTTATCATATTTTCCTTCTTCCACTCACTCTTTGTACAGATGATAAAATTCGTGGTTGTAGTAACGCGCAACACAATCGCGGAAGGCTTTGAGCTTCAAACGCCTCCATTTTTTACGATAGGCTGCTGCGTCAGCAAAGAGTGTCCAACGGAGAAGTGATACACGCCGTAACCGACGAAACCTGACCTGACTTGACTGGACGGGACCTAGCCTGTCAATCAATGGCGGAAACAGGCCGCGCGAGGTTCCTGCTTTCTGCGTTCTGGTTTTGTGAGAAGCAAGGTTTCTTGTACAACATTTGTTTCTTGATGTGTTGGCACTGCAGAAATCTTTAGAACGCATTCTTTGCAAAGCCGCGATTTCTCTTCCCCAGCCGAGGCTGAACTGTCATGGCGCGAGATTCGACACCCGTCCCCCGTGTTTGTCGCGTGCTGGTCGTCATGCTTCTCGCGTCCGCCGCTAGTGCCTACCGTGTACCTGACGGACGTTCAATTGGTGGAGTCCAAGCTGCCGCGTCCGTAACGCCGAGTCAGGCGCCCATCAAGCTCCAACCATCGCAACGTGAGAAAATCATTGTCTCCGGATGATCCTGTATGGCTGTGCAGAAGCTACAGCCTTCAGCCGCATTCCAACGAAATTAGTTCTATAGCTGTCGTTAGTGCAAACTTAGTAGTAACTCATCCAAGGATTGCAGTCGAAGATGCATGGAATGAGGTGACTCATTTTTCATCTGTTCGAAAGTTCCTGCCAGGTTTGAACGTAGATTTTCAACGTTTTCGCCTCAACACTGGCCGGTGTTGCGACTTCAAAGTGCTCATACCATTTTACAAATGCCAAAGAGAAACATTAGCACATTCAAAGTTGCCACAGTGCATTCAGATCGCATGGGAGTTGAGGTGGAGACTTTACTGCGTATTGCGTGTTGCCCAGACCTGGCCCCAAAGCGTCCTCGACCCTGGTCTGGCCCAAAGCTGATCCGAAAGTTAACCTTGAAGAAACTTTTGGGTCAGAAGTTAATTAGGGACAGTTTGAGGCCAGTAAGTAGTATTCTTACCCAAACGTGTCCTGACCTAACTGACCCCAATCTGACTTGCGTGGAAGGTTGGCGGATCAATGCTCGCTGGGTGCATTGCAAAGAGCGTAATAGAGACAGGAAAGTAACGACAGGAAACAAGAATGCCTTGAAGTTACAATGGCTCCCGGCGAGAATCGAACACAAAGTAACGTAGAGTGTTAGACCTAAAAGTGACATTTGGGTCAGATTCACTTTCGACCCCAAAGTACCTGGGGGTCACATATGGGTCATTACATTTTACAGTAGTATAGAGAATCGTCACTTACAAATGTAGTTGACAAGCTTTAGGAACAACCAGCGATAGATTTTCACAGTAGCTATCATAACGGCTGGTAGATGAATTCTGGGATTCAGCTCTTCCTTGCTCTGTATCCACTTCCTCTACCGCCCCGCCAAGTGCAAGCGCTGCTGGTCCTGGACGGAGAATGGGGTCTGTGGAAGCACAACCTATCAAGTGTGATGTGCGATGAGTGGGTGACAGAGGACGCAATTGCGCATTGTAATCCACAAGGCATGGTTACTTCCCTGTAAGTTCGCTCCAGTGGAGAGGACGCAAGTGATAATGGGGAGATAGTTGAAGAGAAGGGCAGTGCATGCGGTGCATCATGTATAGTGGAAGAGAGGGAACACTGCAAGGGCAAAGTGGCTGTGCCATGGTAACATGCTGGGAAAATTGTGGGTTGAACTTGCATGCCTTTCGTGTGACACCAAGGAATTGAAGAAACTAATGCAATCATGCCACTAGTGTGAATGTGAGCGAGTGTGTGTGTGTGTGTGTGTGTGTGTGTGTGCGTGCGTGCGTGCGTGCGTGCGTGCGAGTGTGTGTGAGTGTGAGTGTGCACGCCCTCGCGCACGTTCGTGCCTGTGCCTGCATGCATGCATGTGTGCGGGATCCCCCATTAGGCCGCCGACCCCTTTGTCATCAGTCAGTTATCCAAACGCACCTTTGCATGCGTACCATCCCAGTTACCTCATGGGCACGACTCTCAATGGAAGTCACCTGTGCAACATCAGGCGCTTCACTGCACTCACAACCCTGTACCTTCCCCCTCTTCATCCTAAACCTTGCCTCTTCCACCTCCTTGATGCAACGCACATCGCGTACTATTTGTGTAAATAAATGTTTCTTCATGCTATTCTTGCTTTGGTTCCCAACTGTTTCTGCTCTATGATTGCACCGCACCAGTCAGTTTGTTGCATGAGCACCCCTTTCCCCAGCTCCTTTTGCTTACCTATGCACGGCTACCGACTTGCAGGGTCATTGGTAAACCTCCGTGGGATTCCCAGTGGATTGGTGCAGATTACGACGTGCCAACAGGGTGAGAGACTGATGGAGATGTTGAGGCTCTTGCTGTCTGACAGTGCAAGCATGGTGCATGCTGCTGTGCACGATGTGTGAAATTGCCATTTTGGTGTTTGCTTGAGCTGCAGCATTGTCATGTCATATGGGACAGTGTGTCTGTGGCTGCAGAAGACTAGATTGTGTGAGTTATCTGTGGGGCAGGCGTTTGGTGGCATCTGTGAGTTATCTCAAGAATCCGATTAGGCAGTGTGCAACTCACCACTTTAGGACCCGTTATCCAGCTTCCAAGATTTAATCTACATCCACTCCCTTACCCAACCCCTCCTTCCTAAAACCTTCCCCTCTCCTCTTCCTTCTAGACACAAGCACTTGGTCGGGCCGGTATGCTCGAGCCGAGCCCAACATGTCGGGTCGGTTCAACTGAAATTTGGGTCACTATCTTTTTATCCAACCTGACTGGGAGTGCAAGAGGTCGGGTTAGGGTAGACCCAGTGTCGGTTCGATTCAGTGACATAGTTCTTGAGTTTTGTCTTTATCAATGGAAGGATTGGGTTATGTGGGGGTTTCTTTTTCAAGTATAATGCAAAACTTGAAAATAAGCGAGTGTATGCATAAGAGTATGTCGAATCAAGAATATGAAAGTTGCGGCCTATCACGAGTAATTTCCAGAACTCGAAAATTACACACGTTTCAATTGCAACCCGTCATGCTCACCCTCGTAATGCAACTCCTCCAGCGTGCGTGACGCCTGTGAGCCGAGGAGCCTTGGTCGTATGCCGGGTCATCCATGGACCATGGCATGATGCCCTTGACAGCCCACATACAGCCGGCACTGAACGGGTCGCGGAATTCTGGCTCTTTGTAGCCATTCCTGTTGCAGCACTAGTGCCTGCTTTTTCCTCCACTCTCAACCTATCCCTCACCGTACCAAACCACTCTGAAATCAACGCCCTTTTCCCTTCCACTGAATGGCTCAAATGTGTAGGGACTATGACTACTCTTCTGATCCATACGTTGAGCCCAACCCAACAGAGTAAGATGAATGGGCACATCGGGGCTCTTGTTGCCTGTTGGTGCAAGTCATGGTGAATGCCATGGTGCATGGTGTGATACTTGCAACAGCTGTATCAGTATTGCACAGGTGGCTGGAAAACACAATCATTTGTGTGGGCAGGTGTTTGGTAGTTCATGTGGTGTTTGAGATGGTAATAATTGCTCATGCGATGCGCAGCACCCTGTTTAGTGCATTATGCGCAGCACCTTGTTCTGAAGGGCACAGTGCAGCAGAGCAGCTCATATGACAATGCACAGTCCAAGCGGCTCCATTTACACGACTCAGTGCCTCTCATTCTCCATCTTACTCAATCCCACGTGCTCACTTATACATGCACCCACGCTCTACCCCTGCTGCAACTACTGCTGCTGTGGTGACCTTTCACGCTGCTTCAAACACAAACCAAAGAAAGCTAATCATGCAACTCCACATCCCTTCCCCCTGCTGTATGTCTCTCTCGCAGCAGCATTCCCGTGAATCAGTCAACCATGGGTCCCCCTGTGATGCAAGGCTCCATGGACGACCTCTCATGTCTCGCCCCACTCACCCGCCTCCAGACACTGTAAGCTCCACGTCATCCGTACCATCCTTCCCCTCCCCTCTCATTCACCTCTGCCCGCCTTCCCCTCTCGCTTTGCCAGTGCTTGTTCCTCTTCAATGCTCGACAGTCATTCCAGCAGCATCACATCACTCATGGAATCAAGCCCTCCTGCTAACCGCAGCACCCATCGCAGAGGCTCTCCGCCCGCTGCTTCCCAACTCTCCCACATTCCACATTTCCGTGCTTGTGAGGTTTAGCCCGTGCATCTTTCTCAAGGCCTCACTCGCTCGCAGTCTCTCTGCTTCTCAGCTCTCAAGTCGAGTGTCAACTCCACCATCGTCTTTCATCCTCCCTCGTGCTCCTCTATTTTTCATGCTCACTTCTCCTCAGCTCCCTCACGAATCTCAACCTGACTGCTGGAGAGCTTCCTTCCTCTCTCTCTGCACTTACTTCACTCAGGCATCTGTAAGTCTCGTAATCTTCTTCCCTGCTCCTTGCTTTCATGCGTTGTACTGTTCGGTCCCATGTTTTCTGCATCCGCTTGGTAACCACCAAAGCACAATGAGGATATTGCTGTCATATTTGACGTGCTCTAGGTTAGCCCCTAGGCATGTGCTTGCTTGTTGAACGCAACGCATCTCATATTCGTATCATTGCGACACAGTCAAGATTAACCCTAAACGCATATCTCTTAGGTACTTCCTTTTGATGAGAACAAACATTATGATCTGTTGAGGGTGGAATGGTCTTAAGAACGAGCCATGAAAACCTCCCCATCATTAAACCGGCAGAGCTCAGTAGGGGTGTGCTCGGCCTCACTCACTCCCCCCTCTCTTCTTCCCTCTGTGGCAGTGACCTAAGCTTCCTTCGCATCACCCGCCTACCGCAATGGATCAGTTCACTCTCCAGGCTCGCCTATTTGTGAGTGGAACCCCACTTGGCCCATCCTGGCGTTCCTTGCAACTCGTTCAATAGTGGCCACTGCACGTCTGTTCTGTGGGATTTGTCTCCTTTCTTCGCCTGCTCCATTCACTCTTGGAACATTCACTCTCTGTTTGCATTGCTCGTTCCCGTCAATGCTCTGCCAAGGCTTGCTAGAACTTTCTCAAGCTTGTCCATGACTGATTTGTGCCGCCTTCATTCCTCATGCTTCCCTTATGCTTCCCTCATGCTTCCCGCATGCTTCCCTCATGATGCTTCGCCAATGCTTCCCTCTTGCTTCATTCATGCTTCCCTCATGCTTCCTTTATGCTTCCCTTCTGCTTCCCTCATGCTTCACTCATGCTTCCCTCATGCTTCCCTCATGCTTCACTCATGCTTCCCTCATGCTTCACTCATGCTTCCTTCATGCTTCTCTCGACACATGGGGCTAGAGAAAGGCACGATGGCTATAGGGAAGCACGTTGGCTAGAGGGAATTACGGTGGCTAGAGGGAAGCACAGTGGCTAGAAGGAAAACGATGGCTAGATGAAATCAAGATGGCGAGAGGGAAGTACAACGGATTGAGGGAAGCACGATTGCTAGAGGGATATATTCAAAGTGTATGTTGGTGCCACTGCCACTTGTGGTCCGTATACCATTCCTCTCCACCGACTAAGTTCCCCATGGCCCCACTCCACGAACTAAAGTTCCCCGTGCCTCTCCCCAACCCTCCTTCCCTTGACCACCCCGCAGGGATGTCACCGGCAGCTTTGATGTCCACCTCATTGCACCATTCCCCACCGAATGGATGGCGCTCACAGGACTGGCGGCTTTGTGAGCCATCCACCCTGTCAAGTCAAATGCACACACCGTTTTGCGGTTGACACCTTGAGCAGCCCAGACGACCAACCATTCCATTGTTACATTTTCCCATTGCCAATCAACCCACTGCCTTATCTTGAAGTCAGCCATCAATCTCATCCTTTGTATTTGTACTTTCTATATCCTAGTTTAGTGCATATGGTTTCTTTTTTGGGTTGGGTGTTACAGCATCATCACAACCCTACCCAAATGCAATCAAATGAAAACCCCAACCCGCCCATAGGAGATTTCAGTCAGACTCACTCATCTCATTGGAGATTGCCCCCGATTTGCTACTCATCCACCTTTTGCCCATGCCGGATGTACCTAAGAGCCTTGAGCCCATTACCGAAGGTATGGATCTAACCCCAAGTTCTTACGCCTTTCCCACCAGCCACCAGTGCGTGCGCCTCTCCTCTTGCCCCTCCCCCCTCCCCTCCCCCCTCCAGGCGGGTCGGTCTGAATGGCTTCACTGGCTCTATCCCCTCCACCATCTCCGCCCTCACTGCCCTCTCAAACCTGTATGCCTCCCACTCTTCTGTTACCTTCCTTCCACAAAATTCTCACATTAGATGCTGTAGAAAATAGGAGATAAGACCAGCTTTCACACAAAAGCACCAGGCTGTGAGCACCAGGTTGTAAGCACCAGGTTGTAAGCACCAGGTTATAAGCACCAGGTCGAGAGCACCAGGGTCTGAGGGCCAAGTTGGCGAAGGAATTCCTCACAAAGCCCTTGTGAAGGGGGCTCATAATGTGAAGACGGTTCATTGTGTAATGACTGTTCATCCTATATAAACAACTCTCCTGTGGTTGTTTCCAACAACACAGCACCAAACCTTCCACCTCCTTGCAATGGCCCCACCAGGGATCTCCATTACAACAGCCTTTTAGGGAGCATCCCTGCTGGCATCAGCAACCTCACTTCCCTGCAATATCTGTAAGGCCTTTCAGCCCACTCAGCATGCCAACGAATGTCTCGGCTCGTGATTGTTAAAGTGCCTCTTGGTCGATCGGTCGGTCGATTTCCTCCTGAGCTCACCCAAAAGTACCCCACCTCTCAAAAGTCGTCGGGTTGTCTCAAGACAGTTCCAAGAGAAACACCTGTTAGTTCTTTTCTCGTGTATACGTCCAATTATGTCATATGTTTGCAAACCCTGCCCTCCTTTTCTTTCAACTTAATTCTCTTAGCCGGCCTTTTTCCCTTCCCTGTCGCAACACCACAGGCGCCAGCCATTAGCTCAAAGCTGATCCCTGCACTGTACAAGTGCTCTCCAGCAAACAGAATGGCGCTAGTTTGTACAGAGAAGCGCATTGCACTGTCCTTCCATAATAGACGCATAGTTCACGTGCCTGCCTTGGCCTCTCCTCACACGCATCTGCCTGCCTCCACACAACACAGGCAGCTCTCCCACAACAATCTCGCCGGCGCCGTCCCAGCCCTGGATCTCGCACACTTCGTGTGAGTCTCTGAGGCGTGACGCGCTTTGCGCGCGGACGCGGATACAAGTGGCTTGGATATCATTGCAACGCAACTCCATGTTGCACCTTGCATGCTCAGTCAGTGTCAGCCAAGCAAAATCAGGTGGTGGGGTCTTGCGGGCGGTTTCCTCTTATAACTCCTTTCAACTCTCTGGGAACACCCTGTGCAATCCTCCTGCTGTAGCCTCGTCTAGGTATGGGTGTATTTCGTTGCATTCACAATAGCTTCAGAATGCTCAGTGTGTGTGTGTGTGTGTGTGTGTGTGTGTGTGTGTGTGCGTGCGTGCGTGCGTGCGTGCGTGCGTGCGTGCGTGCGTGCGTGCGTGGGTGCGTGGGTGCGTGGGTGCGTGGGTGCGTGGGTGCGTGGGTGCGTGGGTGCGTGGGTGCGTGGGTGCGTGGGTGCGTGGGTGCGTGGGTGCGTGGGTGCGTGGGTGCGTGGGTGCGTGGGTGCGTGGGTGCGTGGGTGCGTGGGTGCGTGTGTGCGTGTGTGCGTGTGTGCGTGTGTGCGTGTGTGCGTGTGTGCGTGTGTGCGTGTGTGTGTGTGTGTGTGTGTGTGTGCGTGCCACAATATAATGCTTATTCCTTCTCCCCTCCCATGTACCACCCTTTCATGACAAAGCCTGAAGCTTGCTTCGTTTCACAGCCTTTCCTCGTGCTGTTCCGAACCGTCCTCCTGGCATTTGCCACTCAAGCGCCTGACTCAGCGTGCATGTCTCCACGTCCCCTTCCCTCTGACTGCCCTCACTGCGTGCAGAGACCTCTCCCACAACCACCTCACCACCATGCCTCCTAACATCGGTTCCTCTGAGATGTAAGTACAGGGTGATTGAGATCACATACGCATGATGGAGAGGAAAGGAAACAAGAGGGGGGGACAGGGGAAGGGCCATGCAGGACCTTACCATTCTCCTGGCAGCAGCTTTGCCATGGCCTGGAAGGCAGATTTTTGGGTCGAATCGGCAGTGCAGAATCTCATCATTCTCCTGGCAACAACCTTGCCATGGCCTGGAAGGCAGATTTTTGGGTCGAATCGACAGTGCAGAATCTCATCATTCTCCTGGCAACAACCTTGCCATGGCCTGGAAGGCAGATTTTTGGGTCGAATCGACAGTGCAGAATCTCATCATTCTCCTGGCAACAACCTTGCCATGGCCTGGAAGGCAGGTTTTTGGGTCGAATCGACAGTGCAGAATCTCATCATTCTCCTGGCAACAACCTTGCCATGGCCTGGAAGGCAGATTTTTGGGTCGAATCGACAGTGCAGAATCTCATCATTCTCCTGGCAACAACCTTGCCATGGCCTGGAAGGCAGGTTTTTGGGTCGAATCGACAGTGCAGAATCTCATCATTCTCCTGGCAACAACCTTGCCATGGCCTGGAAGGCAGATTTTTGGGTCGAATCGACAGTGCAGAATCTCATCATTCTCCTGGCAACAACCTTGCCATGGCCTGGAAGGCAGATTTCTGGGTCGAATCGACAGTGCAGAATCTCATCATTCTCCTGGCAACAACCTTGCCATGGCCTGGAAGGCAGATTTTTGGGTCGAATCGACAGTGCAGAATCTCATCATTCTCCTGGCAACAACCTTGCCATGGCCTGGAAGGCAGATTTTTGGGTCGAATCGACAGTGCAGAATCTCATCATTCTCCTGGCAACAACCTTGCCATGGCCTGGAAGGCAAATTTTTGGGTCGAATCGACAGTGCAGAATCTCATCATTCTCCTGGCAACAACCTTGCCATGGCCTGGAAGGCAGATTTTTGGGTCGAATCGACAGTGCAGAATCTCACCATTCTCCTGGCAACAACCTTGCCATGGCCTGGAAGGCAAATTTTTGGGTCGAATCGACAGTGCAGAATCTCATCATTCTCCTGGCAACAACCTTGCCATGGCCTGGAAGGGCGGGGTTCACATTCACAGTGCACAAGGAAGCAATCAGCCTTGACACACTACAAGTACAGCAAAAGGTAAGTGGCAAAACAGCACCCCCGGCTTGTGCCCTCGTCGGGTTCAAAAGCCATGGAAAAAGAAAACTTATCCAACTGCTCCGGTGCAGATTTTGCGGTGGATGACAGCTGCCCAAAAGCCTTCTGTTGCTCGATGAGCCTCTCTGAAGTGCGGGATCCCATCCGAGCGAGTATGCCTTACGCCGCTCAATGGGGCATTGGATTCGTGTTGAATGTTCTTTGGATTCATGCTGGATGGGTGCCGACTTTGCATCTTCCTTATCATTTTTTTATTTCTATTTCTATCGTCTCCTCTCACGTCATCTCACTTTCTCACCTCCTCCTTAAAAGGAACGTAAGCTTTACGACTTCATAGTCAGGCTCTTGATTCAATTTCGGCCATGGCTTTCAACTCAAACGACTCGATGCGACTCGAGTGAGCCCTATCAGAAGGGCTCAAGTCCAGTGATGAGTGGGGTGTGACTCAGCACGATCCACACATGCGCATCCCCCCCTTACACTCCCTGTCTTGCACCTTACATTATATGTTCATCTTAGCTACTCAGAGCATACAACGAAAGGTGGTTGACATTGTTTTTTTTCAGGTTCGTCAAACATAGCTACTCATGGCATGAAAAGGTGGTTAACACAGCCTGATGGCATCATGCAGCTCAAATGCATCCTCCCTCCTTGCTCCCTTTCAGCAATCTGAGCCACAACGACCTTAAAGGATCCGTACCCGCCTATGGCTTCTACCAATTAAATAACATGTGAGATGCGCCGGCCCCCTTCGCGCCACGCTTGCTACTCGAACATCGGAGACACATGAAATATCATGGGATATCATTGAGAGGGTTGGGGGCGAAGTGCGCAGATATGCTCAATGCCTAATGAAAGAACTTAGGTGGAGTCAGGTGGTCGTGTAAAGGAGGTCAACAACGGGAGGAAACTCAGAAAAAATCGCCAGTAGCATCATGGTCTGGAGTTTTTTGAAGTTCACATTCAGTTAGGGTTGAGATATTGGTGTAACTCCCAACCAACAAGCTCTACTAGCCTAGATTAACTTAGGATATGGAATGTACAAATACAGTCACTGGTGGCCATGGCCTTCTCTCGCATGCACATGGTTTTCTCTATGCATGGCTCACTCACGCATGCTGCCCACATCTTCATGAAGAACCACGGCGCATGCACAAGAGCCGAGGGGTTGCAGTAATAACAACTGGTCGTCCTCCCCTCTTTTCATCCATCACACTGCATGCCTGTACTTCTACTCCATTGCCCTCATCACGAGTGCTTGCTTGCCATGCCAACCATCTATCGTGCCCTCCACAGAGACCTCAGCTACAATCCTCTGAATGAAATCTCGGATGCGCTTTTCCTAGACTATTCAGTGGCTGTAGTGGATTCACTGTGAGTGACAATCTGGGGTAACGCACTCACAAAGTACAATTTTTTTGTGCATCAGATAATCAGAAGTGTTTGCATTTGATGTTGTTATTTTTATTTCAGATGTTACAGTGATTCCTCCCACTCCTCTCACATCTCAACTTGGTTTAGTCTCTTCTCTAGACCTTCCTGACCTCTACCATCAAGTCATCCTCCCATTCCTACCGTTCGACCAAACCTCCCCAACCCCTTCCTTCCCCCCTCATCCCCCTCTCTGATCTCATCAACCAAACCTCTCCAATTAGGAATTTCGGATCATGCAACTTCTCAGGCCCCTTTCCATGGTTGCCTGCCCTAAGATTTATAAACATGTAAGAATCTCATTTAACTCTAAATGGCTTAGAACTTTCAGCATCAGTCTTTCCATGAGATTCTTACAACATTGGAATATGCGTGAGTGCATCGCTGCATACTGCATCCAAGTTTTGCTTTAGGTTCAGAATTTGCTCAATCAACAGTATCACTTCATTCTTTAATCTCCCCATCCTCTGTTTTCTCTCATCGCACTGCCCGCATGCATCATTGTCCACCTTCCTTTACTGCCCTTCCTCCTCCACAGTGACGTGTCTAACAACAGCTTCACTGGACCCTTCCCCGACGTTCTCCTGAATGTTGACGCCTTCAGCTATCTAACAAACATGTAACGCATTCCACATCATGTCATGCACATGCCCTTTCTCCCTATCATTCAGCTCTGCATTGCACTTGCCCAGCCATACCCTTCATTCCTTCAAGCCATACCCTTCATTGCATTCAAGACAAGACATACCCATTATTGCGTGCAGCAACCTCTCACACAACAACTTCACGGGGTCACTTTCACCAATGATATATGAGATGACCTTGTTGGAAACATTGTAAGCGTTTATCCGCGTTCCTTTTTTTTCACAGTCTACTTCATGCTACGTTATTCCTTATCTAACAATCTGTCCTATTCTAATGCCTTTACTGTCTCCTTGCCAATGCCGCTCACTTGCGCCCACAGAAACATCTCCCACAACCGCTTTTCTGGTGCTGTTCCAAGTGACGCTTGGGCCTTGTCTTCCCTGAAATCCCTGTGAGTACAGCCCCTCATCTTGTGAAAACGTTTTGTTGTTATTCAACAGAATCTTAAGGAATGGCACATGAATGCAAGGTGAGCTAAATTCATGAGCACGTGGTGATGCCCATGGACTGCTAAGAAGCCCATGTATGTACTTCTCTCCACAAGGTCTCTTGAAGTAGGATAAGGATAAATCTCAACAGGAGCCGGTAGGGAGAGATTGTTACAAGTAACGCAGCTGTGTCTGAGAGAACTGGTAAACGGCTAGTTATAGGAGCTAGAGAGCATGCATAGAAAGTACAAGAAAAAAGTGTTGATTTTGATTGAAGGTGGAACGTTGAAACGGTTGTGAGACTGCTGGTTGACCAACCAACTTACTGTGGGTTGCTGGCGTTGTTACAAATGATGGCATTAGTGACTGGAGCTAGGAACCAAAGCTGCTTGTGTTTGATGAAACACCAAGATGGATCGAGTCTAGTTGAATGTACGGCAAAACAGAAATATATTCGGATATGCCTAGCAGTTTTAACGTTGTTCTGACATGGTGTTCTGTGCCATTTGATGCCATGCCATGCCACGCTACCCTTTCTGGCATGGAGGAGAGTCGTCTATGCAAGGGGGATGGTGTGCACGCACCTGACCATGGGATGGTGCCGGATGCAATGAATAAGTGGAAACTTCTGCACCTAGATCATGCAAATGTTTTGTTGACTCCAAAAAAAAAAACAACAACACTCGTGCACCAGGATCATGCGCCAGAATCAAGCAGTGCACGTGTGTCATGGCCCATGGGTTGCTTGATGTCTCACTCCTCACTACAGCTCGTTGCCTCGTATGCATGTCGCTGTCTCTTTGCTTCCTTTCACCATCGTCCATGCGTTATCTCCAGCTCCATGGCTCACAACCAGCTCGAGGGGCCGCTTCCTAATCAAATGGGTTTCGTAAAACTCACTGTTCTGTAAGCGCTTTGAAAATTCTCCGGAATGGAAGAGGGACGGGCGTATGGTGAACGGGTTGCCGCCTGGTCGCCACTTTACTTGTGTCAAACTGAAGAAAGCGCTCACTGTTTCGCATGTGCAAACGTGACCTTCCCCTGTCGCATACACTGCGATTCTCTCCCTCATCCCCATCATGGGCTATGGCAAACCAAACAGCGAGCTTCAAGGCAATGCATTCTCCGGACCGCTACCCGACCTTGCGCATTGGAAATTCACATCTCTTCTTGTGCTGTGAGAACACCACCTTGTTTCCAGCCTTTTTGGTTGCTTGTTCATCTAGATGTGTGCGTCAGGAGCTAGTTTAATTTCTTTGTTATGTATTCGCCCATTTTAAATAGCCAGATCTGATTTAGTAGTCACAGGCCTAGGCATCGCATGGCTCGGGGTGCTCAGAAACCACTAGTCGTTATGAGCAAAGTGGCATGTTGCAATTGATCCTTATCCTTCTCACCTCCCCTCCCCCCCACCCACACTCTCTTCCCTCCTTCACCCTACCACAACCCACCCACCACCATGCCCCATTCAATCCCCAGCGATGTGAGCGACAACCAGCTCAATGGCTCCCTCCCTGACTCCATCTCCCGCTTTGTGACGCTGCAGCACCTGTGAGCCGCAAGCAGGCCTTTAAATCACGAGGCAGAGGTGCTGTTATGAATCAGGGATGGCTTTTAAGGCATATGGACGATGCCTTGGTGCATGATGGGTGCCTTGAGCAGGGGCGTTCCCGTAAAGCAGGGATGCTTTGAAGCTTTCCTTGAGGCACTTCATCTGGGGTGGCACTGCTGCGAAAATGTGTTGCATTGCAACCTCCGTGGCTTCATCCCTTTCTGAATCCATGGCTCCCTGGCTAACTCCATCTCCCTGTTTGCAACGCTGCAGCCGCACCTTTGTTGAGCCGCAATGGCCATCTTGATCAGGAAGGAGGGTGCTGTTGTGAAACATGGATGCTCTTAGAGCCAGGGACGCTATGTTGATGCCTCGAAGCAGGGATGTCTCAAATCTTCGTGCACACCTTGTGTCAGCGAAGGAATGACAGCACTAGCTGGGGTGGCACTGCTGCAAAACTGGCTGATGCTGCATCGTGAAATGTTGAGCTGCGCATTCATCGTTGTGAAAGGTTGATGCACCGTGTTACTACTGCTGCCATACATATGTTGGCATGACATGGCATGGCATGGCATGGCGTGACATGGCACGGCTTGGCATGGCATGGTATGGCAGGGGCATTGGAGGCAACAAATTGAGTGGCCCCATACCTGCTGGCCTGGGTAGACTTATTGAGCTGACGTCCCTGTAAGTACCACAACTATCCCCGTCCATCACAAGCCCTCTCATCATACAACCGCCACCTCTCCTGCTTATCTTACATATTGAGTGCATCCCAGTTCCCCCTCCCCAATGGCTTGGTTTTCATATCGATGGCACCTCAACAGTGTTGACTGACCCTGTTCGTCTGTTGTGTGGCACATGCTACATCATTCAGGTCAGTGCTCACAAGGTGTTTGGCTTACACACTCATAAAATGAAGAATCACATACAAAATGGAGATTTGCACACAAGTTGAACGATCTCATACAAATTGTGGCAACAATGCTGTCACCCTATGGCACTTCAGTGGCAATCTGGTAACACTAGCCTAAAAGTCAGGGAGAATAGTACGCTTCTAACAAGTTGCAAGTTGAACCTACAAGACACTCATACATAATGATCACTCGAAAATAGCCATGTAGCGGAAGCTAAAACTCAGTTCTGGGAATTTGACTGTTTGCCCGTATTGCTCTGCAAAATGCGTACACTTGTGGTCCAATCCTACTCATATATAAGTGAGCCAGCCGTTGCCTCATATTCTACGTTTGATGCAGAACAAAGGTGTTGTACACTGTGTGAAATCAGACATTAGTCACAGAACTTTTTTAGTGCAGAAAGTTTCAGACTCGTTCATTTTCACTGCTTAGCTGTAACGGTCCTCCAAATGTGCAGTTTGACACATCTGTCCAAGAAATTTGGTAGTTCCCGAAGGAGAAGACCTGATAAAGGTGTATTGTTCAGTCGCATATAAGATTTGCAATTGTGAAAATTAGTAAATTTAGTGATATGTGTCCACCCTTTCTCCCATATTTTGCCTTCTTCCTTACCCACAGGAACATCTCAGGCACACGGTTGACCTGCCCAGCAGACGGCAGCAAGTGTGTGGTACAGCAGGCCAGCAACTCCAGCTTCTGCCGCCTCTGCTCCTCCTTCTGCTCCTCCTGCACGCCCCGTCTGTGTAAGCATTCGAGCTGCCATTACTGCACGCAATCAAGCATAAAATCGATTCCACACTAGCTCAAAATGAGCCGGCCAACAACGGTTAGTTGACTATATGTATGCAATGAAGGATATGTCTGAGTTCGGTCTAATCTATATCTGCACCCGCTTTCCAGGGTCGGCACCCTTAGAAGAACCAATGTCATCTGCAGCACCAGCATCAACTGCAGCACCAGCATCAACTGCAGCGCCGGCATCGACTGCAGCACTGGCACCGGCAGCAGTGGTAGAAGTCAAGACACCACCGGCATCTGGCCCTTGCATGCTCATTGCTGCTGCCGTCAACCTCTCTGGTGCTGCTGCTGTTGCCACCGTCTTGCTCCTGATTTTAGGAATGTGAATTGTTGTGTTCTCGCATCATTGTTCCGTGTATATACTACTGCGATGATAAATTCTTGGCAATAAATTGCTTCTACAATTCAGATCTGGATTATCATGCCCGGGTTCCTTCCACAAAAATATGTGCAGTGTTGACAAAGTGTTATAGTTGCTTTGGGACGTGTTGAATTTTTCCGCGAAGTTGCATTTGAATTGAACATGAGATCGCGCAAATAATGCACTTGGGGCATGAGAAGAATTGTGGGTCTTGTGTTTGGACAGAAACATGTTTTACCCGGCTCCTAGACATATATGCTTAATGTAAATTGTAAGCATGGCAGAACGTTTTTGGTCCTTTGGGGTATATTGGTGTTAATGAATCGCACGCCTCATGGCGTCTCCTCGAATCATCCAGTCGTGCCTCTAAGGTGTCTGCAACACCCGTGTCACCTACGCCAACCATGGTGGTGACTACCGCACTGTTGCCGGCATACGAACACTTAGGTAAATGGGACTAAGTAGACTAGACTGAAATCTACGTCGCGGTGCCGTCCACGCTCACCGCATCATGCGGAGATAACTGAGTCAACGGGAGCTATACTACGGGCTAGACACGGGGCTTGAGTGATCTCTGCATTCGTTCCCTTAGTCGTTTCCTTGTGTGCTCACTACTTGCTAGTTCATGGGGAGAATTGGCAAGAGTTTCACTAGGAAAAGTTGACAACAATGGTTGACAATTGCGAAGCAACACTGGCTACATCAAGAGCTAGCATGCAAGCAGGTCGACTGCCAGCGCAGCATGGTCGACTGCGTTCCAGCACAACATGGTCAACCGCGCTCCAGTAGTGCGAAGTCGTGATCTGCCAACGCTGCAAGTCGACGGCGTGCCAACGCTGCAAGTCGACGGCGTGCCAACGCTGCAAGTCGACGGCGTGCCAACGCTGCACCAAGGCAACTGCACAACGTTGCAGCCGTAGGACAGCAGCGCACCTGCTTCGCAGGTGCTCGCGGTTTATTGGCGTGCTGTGCCTCATCACCTGCACAGCGCAGATGCGAAGCCGACCACGTGCCCACGACTGCACCTGATCCGCCCACGTCGACCTCGGGATACCACCTGGCCGACTGTCGCGCATGTCCGCAGAACTTCGTCACCCGGGTAACTTGGTCGACCTGGAAACCACCAGGTCGGCATCGACTTCTTCGGGGAAAGTTGACCAGAAGTTGTGTGTGCTCGTCGACTGCCCAAGTCGACGACCACCAGCCGACTTCACCAAGTCGGCCACTCCCCAGGCCGGCGCCCCCCAAGTCGGCGCCACTCCTCTTCGTGCCCGTCGACCACCCAAGTCGACGACCACCTCCGATCGACCACACCAAGTCAACCAAACACCTGGTCAACCAGCTCCAGGTCGACCAGCACAGCTGTCAGCCGACCGCACCACGTCGGCTTCACCAGGCGACATCACCAAGTCGACGCCCTACCGGGTCGCCTCCCAAGTCGACCTCCTGATGTCGGCGCCCTCCCAAGTCGGCGCCCACTGCTGCAGGTCGGCTGCACCTCCCACACATCTGACCAAGAAGTCGGCTCCGCTCAAGCAAGGACGGGGCCAACACACAACTCCCGTTGACAGAAATGCGTACAACTCGTTTCAAATAGTCAAGGAACAAAAGATCCAAAGAGGAAGCTTTACTTCCTTCGTACCATCCGATACAGAGAGGATGCTTTATTTCTCGAGTCGCATGCTATCCATATGAGGTTTTTTTTTTTCTGCCTACGGTTAGAAGTCGGCCCACTGGGAAAAGCAGCCGGTCTGACTAATCACCTGAGATGTACCTAGCTGTAACCGGAATCAAACTTTTCGCTTCAATCAAGGGGGCGGTTTTCAGTGAGTATCCCACGTGCTGGCAAAATTTGTAGCAAAGTTAGCCTACGCGTTATGTCCCTTCGCAATCGCCAAAATGGTCGACCATTCGGTTTGGTCGTTACAACTCTACACGCCTTATGGGCATGTTACGCACCCCCTTTTTGGGGGGGGCTGGTTGGGTTGCATCGAACGGTCGGGCTGGGTAAACCAGTAGGGTTACCAGATTATCCGAGGCCATACAGTGTACGGTATTTGGCGTGTGTATCAGAGCACTTTCACACCTGGTTAAACGGCCAGGTGGTCCAAACGACCATATGGTCCCGCCCACATCCAACTGGTCGAGGCTGCCAGCGTACACTGGAAATTGCAGGCAGCTGACATTCTCGAATCTCGATGTGATTGGTGTACCGAAACAAATATAAACGTGACAGGGTGTCGTGACAGGGTGAAGTGGGTCTCGGCCGAACATACGAGGCTTCACAAAACATGCAACCGTGATGGTCTGTACCAATATTAGGCTGATGGGAACACAATGCAACACAGATAATAAGCAGGAAGATGCGAGCTTAGTGAGTCTGTCCAGGAGACTCCAGCACCTGATTCCGACTAATCATGCAAGGTGCCACACGGAGGTGTGTTGCGATCATACGCACATGCCAGGAGATGCAAGCTTTGGAGACTCACAAGGTATCAAGGTTTGAGCTAGTGATGGAAGGAACGGCACCGATGAGATTGTTGAAGGAGAGACGCCTGTGTTGTGTGGAGGCAGGCACGCGTGGGGGAGAGGCCAATGCAGGCATGTGTGGAGAAATGCCAAGGCATGCACGTGTACTGCGGATAGACTGTGGCAGTGCAATGCAGCGACTTTGTACAGTGGAGTCAATGTGTACAAGGGAGAGTCATTATATGAACTGGTGCTTGTGTTGCGATTGCTTATCATCACCGTAGCTTTAACAAAAACACGAGAAGCACGAGGAAGGGCTGTGAAACAAGGGCCATGCAGCATTGTCATGACAGGGTGGAGTCAGTGGGGTAGAACTTCTGAGGCTTCACAAAACCTGCAATCGTGTGGTCAACACCAATACTAGGCTGTTGGGAACACGGCGCAACACAGCAAATAAGCGCCTAATTGAACGAAAATTTGTACCTTGCTCACGTAGCAGCACGTAGCAGCAGGAAGATCGGAAGGGGTGTCGATCAAGTAGAAAACTGCTGAGAGTCTATCACCTGATTCCTTTCAGTTCACACTGAGCATGCAAGGTGCCACACGGAGGTGTGTTGCGATCCAAGCCACTCATAAGCGCATGCCAGGCGAGGCAAGCTTTGGAGACTCACAAGTACTTCAGGGATTCGCTAGTGATGGCAGGAACGGCGCCGGTGAGATTGTTGAAGGAGAGCCCCCTGTGTTGTGTGGCGGCAGGCACGTGTATTGCGGATAGACTGTGGTAGTGCAATGCAGTGACTTTGTACAGTGGAGTCAATGTGTACAAGGGAGGGGCATTATATGGACGGGTGCTTGTGTTGTTGCGACTGCATATCATCACCGTAGCTTTTACAAACACGGCTTAAGATGGACTGGCACCATTACTATGACACAACGAAAGAGCCAGCATTCACAGATAGAAAGATGACTCGTGAACTGAAAGTCGAATTTGAGAGAGCCGAGGAATAAGACAAAGTTGAAAGGGTAGGGACCTGATACGACAATACACACGTGAGCAAAGCACCAGACCTTGGATTTCCTGGAACTAATTCGCCTAAAATCAACCCAAATAGATTATGTTGGCGCGTTGATTTGGGTCAAAAGGCATGGTTAAGGTGAATCATCAGTGGAGCACATGTGAGAACTTACAGGTCTTGCAGGTTAAAGAGGTTGGTGATGCTGGCAGGGATGCTCCCTGAGATGTTGTTGAAATTGAGCTGCCTGGAGGGGCGATTGCGAAAGAGGAGGGTAGAGAAGAACAAAATTTCTGGGCTGTCCGGAAGAAAAAAACCCAAGCGTTTTGCGTTTTTTTTTTCTGTGCGTTGCGACTGCTTATCATCACCGTAGCTTTTACAAAAACGGCTTGCACCATTACTATGCAACAGATAAAAAAAATGATTCGTGAACTGAAAGTCGCATTTAAAAAAGCGGAGGAATAAGACAAAGTTGAAAGGCTAGGGACCTGATACGACAATACACACGTGAGAAAAGCACCAAACCTTGGCTTGGATTGCCTGGAACTAATTCGCCTTGAATCAACCCAAATAGATTATGTTGGCGCGTTGATTTGGGTCAAAAGGCATGGTTAAGGTGATCAAAGGAGCACATGTGAGGTCTTACAGGTCTTGCAGCTTAAGGAGGTTGGTGATGCTGGCAGGGATGCTCCCTGAGATGTTGTTGAAATTGAGCTGACTGGAGGGGCGATTGAGAAGGAGGAGGGGGGAGAAGATGGTGCTGCGGTGTGGGAAACGGCCACAGGAAGAGCTTTGCCCACCGCGCATTGTCTAGCTGGTGAAAGACCGTGGTGCTCACAGCCTGGTGCTTAGGCGTATCGTTTAATATCCATCCCTATTTCAAAAGGTTCCCGTGGATGGACGGGGATAGATGAAGGAAGACGAGACGGGTGGGAAGCTGATGTTTACAGGTCAGTGAGGTTTGCGAGGGAGGCGAGAGTGGGTGGAAGCGGAGGCGTACAATTCACTGAGGCCGGAGAGGGCGGAGATGGTGGAGGGGATAGATCCAGTGAAGCCATTCAAACTAAGCCGCCTGGAGGTGGAAGGAGAGGGGAGAGTGGACAGGCACACGCACTTGTGTCTGGTGGTGGGGGCACGGGAGTTGGGTCGAGAGCCCTAATGGGCAATGTGAAGTTGGAAGGGCGGTGGGGAGGTGGGCGCAGTGCTTCTCGGAGGGCAATATAATCAACGGATGGCTTTGAGCGATGAGCTGAGCAGCACAACGTGTCAAACCAAGATGGTGGATGCCTCACAGATGTTGCAGCAATGTGAGCGCCATCAATCCAGTGGGGAATGGTTGCGAGCGGTGGACGCTAAAGTTGCCGGTGACATCCCTGCGCGGTCAAGGGCAGGAGGGTGGGGGAGGTAAAGAGGACTCCAATCAGTGGGAGGCATGGTTGGAAGGCCCTGCAAGTGGCATCAACGTACATCTGACTCGTTCCCCTAGCCATCATGCACAGCCCTAGCTGACTCTGCCATGCACCACGTGTGGCCCAATCCAGGTTAGCACAAAAATTATATCAGAGGGAAGCCGGCTTGATCCAATTGGCACAGATCAGTTAGAAATAGCCAAGGATGAGCAGGTTGTAGCCTCCTTTGGCAACGGTTCGGCAGCGACAAGGCAAGCAGAGTGAGTGGCAACGCTGTAGCGGGTTGCGGGTGATGCAGGTGTAGTACACTGTACATGGCAGGAAATGCTTATTAGATTCGTGGCCGGGTGCGGCGAGGGGCTCGTGGTTCCACTCACAGATGAGTGAGGTTGGAGAGGGAACCGATCCATTGCGGAAAGCGGGTGATGGGGAGGAAACTTAGGTCACTGCCACAGAGTGAAGTGGGAGGTGAGGTGAGAGACATGTGAGGTGGACAGTGGCAGTGCGATGCAGCGACTGCTGTCACTGCACCCCCAAGCTCCCGCTGTCCTGCCGGATCAACCATGACACGTCTTGATTATTCCGTGAGAGTGCCTATGTGTTTATGAACGAAAAATGTGTTTGCTTCACCTATATCGGCTCAGGCAACTACCAGATGGATTCATGCTGCTCACTCAAATTCTGTCATAAGATGCAATGCACTGCAACGCGCTTATGAGATGCATTGCTCTTATGAGAGGCAATGCGCTTATGAGATGCAACGTGCTTATGAGATGCATTGCTCTAGGCAATGCGCTTATGAGATGCAACGTGCTTATGAGATGCATTGCTCTAGGCAATGCGCTAATGAGATGCAATGCGCTTATGAGATGCAATGCGCTTATGAGATGCAATGAGATGTAATGCGCTTATGAGATGTAATGTGCTTACGAGATGCAATGCGCATACGAGATGCAATGCGCATGTGAGATGCAATGTGCTTATGACATGCGATGCGCTTATGGGATGGAATGCATGCGACGAGCAAGCACATGCCCTTGATACGCTTATGATATGCAATGTACTCATCAAGAGCACATGAAGAATGACATCATGATCACGGTTGGCTTCGGTAGTTACATAAATGATGCATACTGCGTGGGAGCAGGAAGGAAGATACTAGAAAGACTTACAGGTGGGAGAGTGAAGCAAGGGCGGATAAAGAGGAAGGGAGCTCTCCGGCAGTCAGGTTGAGACTCGTGAGAGTGCTGAGGAGAAGTGGGTATGACATACAGAGAGGGAGGCATAGCCATGTAAATTAAAGGCGAGTGACGTCTCAAAAGTGCAAGAGAGAGGATGAAAGACAATGGTGATGTGGACGCACGAAAGTTGGGGAGCAGAGAGAATATGAGTGAGTGGGGTGTTGCGACTGAAGCACGGGCAAGTGCCGTGCGAAAAACGGGAGGGAGGGGGACAGCAGCCAGCGGGAGAGCAACATAAAAGTGTGCTGCGGGTTGCAAGGGGACCAGATTCCCCTGGAGAGATCCATACACTATGCTGCTGGACTGACCATTGCGCAATGAATAGGAGCAGCGTTGGTAGAGTAAGAGGAGATGGGCGGGTAGGGATGAGTGAGAGGGGAGGGGAAGGCAGGTAGGGAGGTAGGGGTGAGTGAGAGGGGAGGGGCAGGCAGGTAGGGATGAATGAGAGAGGGGAAGGCAAGTAGGGATGAGTGAGAGGGGAGGGGAAGGTGGGACGAGATGAGTGTGAGAAAGGGGGAGGGGAGGGGTGGGGGGGTGAAGGCAGGCAGGCACGAATGCGTTAGACGTGGGAAAGGGAAAGGCGGATTGGAAAGATGTGCAGCGTACAGGTCCTTGAGGCGAGTGAGCGGGGCGAGACACGAGAGGTCGTCCATGGAGCCTTGCATCATAGAGGGGCCCATGAGCGACTGGATCGAGAGAATGCTGCAGGAGAGACAAACAGCAGAGGGGAGGGAGACGACTTGTCAACTTTCTGTGGGATGCGTTTGCACACGGCGTGACGGGGAGCCATAGCAGCAGTAGTTTGCACGGGCTACAGCAGCAGCAGTCCATTCCAGCATTCACAACAGCAGGGGGTGGAGCAGAGACTTCATGCGCGTGGGTGAATGGAGCAGTGCGCACGTGGGTGGGATTGAGCAGCTTGATGATAAAAGGCACTGAGGGGAGGCAAGGAAGGAGCCGTGTGAGTTGAGGGGGGAAGGGAGCACACAGCTAGCGCTGTCCCATGAGATGAGCTGCCCGATGAGCTGCCCTGCTGCACAAGGTGTTTTACTGGAGCATTCCAAGCATCATCTGCACTCTTCTGTAGACATGATACGCTGTAAATATGTTGCAGCAGTCAACAGCAAGAGCCCCAAGTCATCCCCATCAGTCTCACTCTGCTGTGTCGCCACTATAGTATTGATAAACGGGGCCCAACGACTGAGGCTTCCCAATGTGCCTGCATGTTGGGGTCAGTGCGGAAGGAGGGAAAGGGAACTTGTGGGAAGGATGTACTATGTGCATGGTAGCAACTGAATGGTGGTGCGGCATGAAAGAACGAGGAGACGGGGATGGCTGGGAAGTGGAGGCATAAGCAATGCGCATAAAGCATGTGCGAACACGAGGTGTAAGTGATGTGCTTGCCCGCTAGGCGGTGGATGAGGAGAGGGGGGGGAGGTACAAGGAAATGGGGAAAGGAAGTTTGGGAAGAAGATGTGGAATGATTAGGAAGGAGAGAAGGAGTTTTAGGAGAGAAGGGAGTTTCCAGGAAGGAAAGGTGGGAGGTACAGGGATTCGAGTGCAGTGAGGCGACTGAAGCTGCCAGGGAGACTTCCACTGACAGCCAGGCCTGAGAGGTCACTGGGATGGGATGCGCACGGATCGGGGCACAGAAGCACGACAGCACTTGCCTGCACTTACCAGGGAAAGACCCACTCTTCCATCATCCATCATGCCAGACAGCACTTGCCTGCTCCATGATAGCATACTGCCCTTCCCACCCCCGGTCAACCCCACCTCACTCCCTCCTTCACCAGAGCGCACATCTCATCACAGAGCTCACAGGTCGGTGACCATGCCGTGTGGGTCGCACGCCACTTCCCAAGAACCAACTTCGAACCCATGATAGTCTTCGATCACCTTCTTCCACTCGTCACAGAACAAGTTTGAAGCGTTGCTCCCCCAGAGAAACCCCAGAGCCACAAGCGCTTGCACTGGGGGGCGGAAGGCAGGAAGAAGGGGAAGACTGTCATGACTCATTCGCAATGCCCTGCATGGATCAAGCCAAGCAACTCCCTCCGCCCACGATGTCGAATGGACAGCTTTAGAACGTACTTACGTAGCCCTGGCTGAATGGTGTAGCAACTGCACATTAGAATCATGAATTAACTTTTCCCCTACTAAACGAATCCATTTTTTCTACAGGACCTGATGATCGATCATGCGTCAATCCCGCTCAATCCCAAAACGCAACCTGGTTGTCATTAAAAGCTTGGCGGTCTACATTCAAAGTGGCGTTTTTTGGGGGCATTTGTCGATGCACACCCTTTCACGCCCTGATTGGAAAGCGAACACGTTTCTGAAACGCAGGAGCAATGAAGTCACACAAGCACGCGAATACCCATTTTCGTGGGTCGGGAGAAGAGTCCGCGGAAGTGCGGAAACCACTTGGGAAGTTCGATATTTGGGGGAAGGACCCCCACCCCCCTCTCCCACCACCCACCGTTCGCTTAACATGAAAGGGAGCCCGCGTGAAAAGCTTGGTCACACTGTTTTCAAGTGATAAACAGAGCCTTCCGCTCGAAGTAATGTAGATCGCAGCTTTAAAACAGGGAAGATCCGCGCCTGCAAGAGGCCCTAATAATCACAAGCCTTATAGCGTCGCCTTTAGCCTCACACGGCTGAAATTCTTGCTTCCACATCCACCATGATGATTCGGCGACAAGAATTAGACTCACATTGCGAGGGTTGGAGCTTAACGCGCGCCGGACTCGCCGGCGTTGCGGTCGCAGCCGCCTGGCGCGGGCGACGACTCGTCGGATGCGGGCGACGCATCTCGGAAAGGGCCGCCCGTCCGATACGCTGTCGCCGACCATCCCCGGCGACACGGTAGGCACTAGTTGCAGCGGCGAACGCGAGAAGCATGACGACGGCCAGCACGCGACAGATAGAGTAGAGAGGGACGCACGTACGGAGAAACGTTGCAAAGAAACGTACGGAGAAACGGCTACAAGCACGAGGTTTCACAAATCACTGATTTTAGGGTGGAGGGAGCGAAAAAGAAGAGGCGGTCCTGAGGCTTTCTGGAACTCCACGCTTTGCGCAGATGGGAGACGGAGAATGAGCAGATGCGCCACGGAGAGTTGTGTTCCGACGTAACAGCCGTAGGGTTGATGCTCCGCACCTTGCACGATCCGCGCGGAACGGAACGGGAAACGGGTGAGGGTGGTCCAGTGCGTGACCTCCCGACCTGACCCAACTATAACCCGGCAATCATTCTTGCAAGCGGGCTATCAAACCCTCGCGGTGGGGACGGCAGGTATGGAAGTAGGGACGGCAGGTATGGTCAACAATCATTATCCTCCCCATCCTCTAGATCAGCCACTCCAGGCGGCGGCGGGGGCAGCTACGAAAGGGAAGGACTCCTTCCCTTTCGAAGCTCCTCGGAGGAGCTTACACAATCCCAACCTTATCATCCCATCTGCCTATCCAAATCAGCCACCTGGTTCTATCCTGGTGCAAACATACACGGCGGCACAAATACCCTATGAGAACCTAGTAGCCAGGATTTACTTACAGCACGCTAGTAGCGCGTACCAAAGGTTGTGCATTTGAATGAAGCGGCAGAAATACGCGATGCGTGAAGCTCCAAAGCACGACATGTTGAACGTGCCTTTTCGTGGGGTCCAATTTTCCTAATTCCTTAAACTCATTTGGAACCATCAAGAAACTAATTAGGGTTGTAATAAAAAAGTTATTAAAGTAGTCTTGCACATTCTCGAAGTTTCTAGTCTGTTTTGGGTGCAGTGTATTTAATGAATAGCGCATTGTTTTTTTTTTCGACAAATTTTGCTAACGATGACGTTCATGTCAAAATGCACATAATTTCAATATATTTGTGTGTACGCGTCCATGTAGACTATATTGAATTGCGCTCTAGGGGGTAATGCTCTCTACATATCCAATTGCATGCCCTCATTCTACTCAGTTGTTATCCAATGTATCACATTCGTATCACGCTCTGTTTATAACCCCTTGCTTCTGCGCCCCCTCTGATAGTGCCCGTCGCGCCTCCCTAACGTCCAATTTCCGCGCCCCACTCGCACCTCTCTAGAGACGCCTGATAGCGGCCCCGACGCGCCCAGCTCTAGCGCTCCGCCTAGCCGGCCCTGTCGCGCCCGAGTTTATCGCCCAACCTGTCATCCCCGTCGCCCCACCCGCGGCAGCTGCCGCCGCACCTGCTGCTGAACATGCAGCTGCGTCTGCCGGAAGTGCCCTCCGATGCCTGCAACTACCGGGATAAACCAGATGCTCCTGGTCCATCGTGATACGGCGATTGAGTTTGTTCTGCGGCTCGATGGAAGGGGCGGGCAATCGACTTCGTCGTGTGTCTGCTCATCGTCAAGCTCAACCTAAGGAGCTAGATTCAAGGTGACGTCCCCCTGCATTCCATGCTTCAGGTGAGCTACCTACCCCCCTAGGTCCTATTCATCTTGCTGTTGATGTGATTTGGAGGCGCAAAAGCACGCCGCGACGCCCTGCTTGCGTGTACGCTTTAGATGTTACGTTGTTATCAACCGCCTTCTGCCATCGGCCGAGCTACAACATCGTGTTGTATTTGTCGGACCAAGATGGCGAAGGAGTATTTTGACGCTCTTGTTGCTCGCTGCTCCACCCTTCATCTGCTACTAGGACGGCTCGTCATGCCTTTCCTTTTTCTTGATCTCCCAGCGTTCTCCACTATTGCTGACATCGTTACCCACCTACGCTCGCTTGACGCTAGCTACCGCGCAGCTTGGATTACTGACGTCCTAGCTGTGCACCCCCGCCCCCCTCCCTCCCCCATTTTAGATCTCGCCCGACGAGCCTCCTTGCCGGCTTCGGTGGGCCCGATGTGCTCCGACTCGGTCGACGAGAGCGTCTTGCACTTGATGCACTGACTCGTCCAGGAGACGGCGTCCTTGCCGAATAAAAAAACGTAGCCGTTCGTGCTACTACGGTTCTGCTTGTCACCAGCGTGCTCGGCGTCCGCACAGTCGACCAGGTTCAGCGATTCGGGTCCGTCGCCGAACTCCAAGGCGGCGTCACGTGTGTCGGCGAGTTGGTGCAGGCAGCGGTCGACGGAGACTGGCGTCTTTGGCACTCGCCCGGTCCGCTCCACGTCAATAAAACGCCGACGCAGCTTGTCGACATAGGTTTGCTGGTGAAGCCAGCTTCCGCGCAGGTCGGTCGCACAAGATTTCCAACCCGAGATACTTCTCGAAGGCGGCGACCAGATCGTCGACATAAACGAGCACCCAGGACGCAACTCCGTCGTCGCGGACCTTGAAGTAAAGCACTTCGTCGAATTGGCTCTTACTCCAACCAGCGCTGGTGAGCACCGCGTCGAGCACCGAGTACCACAGCAGCGGACTCTGCTTCAGTACCATAGCTCCACTTCTCTTGGTGCTTGCCGAGGTTGGAGCAGGTTGAAGATGCTTCACTTCTTAGACCGAGACCTCCGCCGCGTCATCGTCGTGAGACTGATCCCCTGTCGACAGCTCCCATGTCTCGCCACCGACGACTTTTGCGATGTCGCTCGACGTGGCGTCGTCGAGCTGGTCCACAGTAAACGGCTTCCTTGCCGACTTCTCTTCTACCACCGGCTCCTCTGCCGACTTCGCCTCTGCCGCCGGCTCTTCTGCAGACTTCGCCTCTACCGCCAGCTCCTCTGCTGACTTCTCCCAAGTCAGCGACTTCTGCACTTGGCAGCTGAGGTGCATCTCGCCACGTCGGCCGTCAGCGATGCCACTGGCCGGGGCCAAAGACGATGCAGCAATGCTCCCCTCATCGCCGGTGGCCGACGGCGATCATCACCACCTTGTTATCAGTGAGTTTGAGCACCACAAACCGAGATGAAGGCCCTATCGGGCCTTTGGCGTCAGTTTCCCACCACGCTGCTTCTCAGGAACCATGATCTGCACCATGCAGCCCTACACTCGCGCCAGTGCTAAGTCCGGATTCTACTCGAACAGCAACTCGTGCGTTGTCATCCCCTGCAGAGACGCTTGTTCGAGGCAGTTTTACACCAAGACGGCATGTCAAAGAGCAAGGTGCCACCAGTGGTGGCGCTTCACGCCCATGTGAAGCAGCATCGTCCGCACGGCCTCGACGACCGTACACCTCCCTGCAACCCCAAACCCATTCTGATGCGGAGTATAGGGGAACTACCCTCCGTGGCCAGATTGCAGCTTTTTCACCGTCTTCGACGTCTGCCGCTCCACCACATTCAGCCACTTGTCCAAGACAATCAGCACGCCGCTCTTCTTTGCGATCGGCCGAACCCACACATAGTGTGTCTTCCTGTTCTTCAGCAAGAGAAAGTAGAGATTGTCATCATTGGTGGCCACTCGAAACGGCCCGCAGAGGTCAAGGTGCATCACGTCGAGCGCATTCTCGCGTCCGATCCTTACTCGGGGAAGGTGTGTCGCGCCAGCTTGCTTCTGACGCAGGGAGCACATGGCAGGTCATCCGTGATCGATTTTTTGATGTCGAGACCGGCGACGACCTCATGCTTCGCCGAGCTCTTAATCGTGTCGACGCCGACGTGCGCGAGCCTTGCGTGCCACATGTCCGGCGTTGACTTCGTCGCCGACGCGATCGTCCGGAGAGCCACAACCTCCGTCGAGGACGTTGTCGACTTCGTCGAGTAGGGGCGCAGGTCGGTGCAGGGAACTGTGCCGGTGTAGCGTGCTTGACGAAGGACATCGCCGGTAGCCGAAACCAGCAGCATCTCTTTGTGGTCGTCCTGCAGATTCAAGCCATTGTCCTTGACTGGCCGGCGGACAGAAAGTTTGCCTGCATACCCGGAACGTAGAGCAAGTCAGAGACGAGAACCTGCTTCCCGGCCTCCCCTTGCAGAGCGATGGTGTCACGGCCTTGGACGCTCTGAAGTGCCACGTGGACGCACGTAGGGCACGTCGCCGCTCGGCTGCATGTCGACGAAGGCCCCGCA